AATCGAAAAAGGAAGGCGTAAAATGAAATTCTTAATAAAAATTTACCATTTACAAATTTAACCTTGGAGTTACTGGGGTACCTTGTAGCAAAAAATATTGCAATAAATTCAATTTGTAAAGAGATTTAAAAAAAATATGCATTTGTCATTATTATACTTATAATGTAGTGTTTGTGCTCAATTCAAAATGTATAAAAACGCAATAAGTAGGTACACAAAATATAAACAAATTGAAAACTTATAGAAAGAAAGTATATATAAATGTATGTACAGGTAAAATAATTTTATTGTTTTACAAAGTTAAATTGTCTAATAAATAAATGTAATTTGAAAACATGACGTCTAAATTCACGTCAATTCTAATTATTGTCTTTCTGTTGAATACATGAAAGAATTTGGAAAAGTGAAAACAATGTTGTTGTATGTATAACGTATATTCGTCTCTTTTTATGTTTAAAATTGAACTGTATAAGAAGAACTTCTTGTTCTCATAATTAATTTCTAAAATAACTCATCAATTGTGTTAATGCCTCTTTAAGTACATACATACATACTTAAGTAATATTATAATATGCGTTTTGATTTTATAATTAAAGTATAACATATAAAAAATTTTCAAACTTGTTATCATATGTTTATTTTTCATAATAAATTTAGAAAACAACAGAAAACAAAAATGCGGGAGTCTTGTTTGCCCAAATAAGCACACTCATCTACAGGTTTCATTGAAAAATATAAGTAAATTTTCACACATATATATATACATACATATTTACTCGTATATGTTTAAATAAGTACAAGAAAAATTTAAAAGGAAATTTTTGTAAAACAACTCTAATTTTATATAAAAATGGAAATATGTAATTATTTATATTTATGTATGAAGAAATATGTTCATAAATATATAAATGTCTCATTACATAGATTATTTCAAAAGAAAATTTTATAAACATTGAAAATTACAAAAAGACTTCACACCACCGTGAATATTGTGTTAAATTTTCATTTCTTAAATATCACAAAAACACTACTGAGCTCATTTCTTTTAATTTCGCTCACACTTACCATTTTTATTATAGTTGTTAAATATTTTTTTTTTATAATAAAATTAAAATATTTATAAAGAAATTATTAAAAAATTTTTAGTGCATTTTCAAAAAAAAATTGCAAAAATTTTAAATCTGTCCAGCTGCCAAACTTTTTATTTATGCGTTTTCTTAAATTTCCGCGCAGTCTTTAACAAAGCTGCAAATTTTTATGCCAAAAGTTTTTTTTAAAAAACTTATCATTCCATTTCAAAAATTATAGTTTCTCAAAGCGCTTTATGTTTTCATTTTTTATTTTCATAAATTATATGCAAATCCCTAATTTATGAAGATCACAATTTGCTCCTTCCGAGTTATAATCTAAAAAGGTAAGCTTTTTTATTTTTCTGTATAAAAGTAAAGAACCAACGGCATAAGTCTTGCTATCAATAAATAAAACTGTTTATATTGTAACTGATGGCTAATTATTGCCGCCAATTTTATTTAATTTTGATCCTAAATGTATGCAATAAAAATATAGGAAAAAAAACATTATTTAAAAGAAATAGAAGTGATTCTTACACTAGTGAATTTAAATTGTTTAAAGCGAATGTGCTACACTTAAAAATCACTGATTTGATCACTGAAATCAATTAATATGAAATTTTTGTTTGCATTTTTTATGTATGCAATGAGTTTTTATGTATACATATGTACAAATTACATCGAATATATAAGATAAGTTTACCTGTTAAGCCACTATATATACAATGAATTTCTTAATAAGGTCCTTTTTTATTAAAAAAATATTTTTTTTTTATTTTGTTTATTAATTGCGGCTTACTGTTTAAAATGTATGTGTTAGTATGAAATATATATATACAGGGTGATTTTGAAAGGTAATCATTAACATATTCCATTGGTTAGAGGATCGAAAATGGCTAAAACATTTGTTCCGGACTGGGTACCAAATCTCAAGGGTTTCCAAGTTGCAGGCATTTTAACGAATTTGCACGAAATTTTTAATTAATCAAGTATTTTTGATTATAACTTCCGTTCTGAAAAAGATAGGAACTTCAAAAACTAGTTTCTAAAAGGCCTAGTAAAGAACTTAAAATAGACATGCTATGCTTGATTCCGTATTTTATGTAACTTTAGGGAAAATCAAATTTTTCCCTTTTTTTATTTTTTCAGTTTTTTCTAACTGGATAATTTCGTAAAAAAAATTTTTAAACCATAAAATTGTTTTATAGAATTTTTGCCAGCTACTTATTCTTTACTTTAAGTCCTCAGACATTAAAACATTTTTGATGCTACAGAAGATATAGCACAAAAACCACAATATTAGCCAAAAATTTAATTAAAATCAAATCAAGTATTATAAAACTAAGTTTGAATTCAATTTAATATTCCTTTATCAAAAACTTTGGAAAAATACGAATTCCTTATCCAAAAATTTTATAAATTTCTCAAAACGAACACTTTGGTGAACACAAAACGAACACTTTCCCCTATGAAATTCACGTCAAAATCTTAATGTTCCAGTAAAGGAATTGATCTTTTAAATCAATTCCTTTACTGGAACATTTCTGTTGTGGTATCAACCGTTTGTCAATTTAGCTTTAGTAAAAATATGTTTGAAATTTATAAATTCCATTAAATTAATTATTAATTATTTACTAGCTTCATAATGTTAATACAATATCATTTACGTACTCCATTTTGTGAAAAACAAAATAAATTTTCCTACTAAAAAAAAATTTTTTTCTATTAAAATAAATGTCAAAATTTATATGGCACGCCTTTAAAAATTCGTTTCAGCTGGATAATTATACTAGATTTTTTTTGTAATACAAAATTCTAGTTTTTCTTTCCAAAAATTTCAAATTTTTTTAAATTCTATTTTTGTTTTCAATTAAAAAGTTTGTATAAAATTTCGTTTCAATTTTGTTATTATTTGTTACATTTCAATAAAAACATTAAAATTAAGATTTTTTATCAAAATAACGGCTCTTTAAAATGTCAGCTGGTTTTTCGAATAACCCTTGTCCCCAAAAATTATGATAGTTGATAATTACAGTGCATAAAATCAATTAAATTCAAAAATAGTTAAAAATAGGGCCTTTAAAATCTTGATATAGAAATGGTGAAAATTCTCTAAAAAGAATTCAAGGTTTTAAAAAATTTCTTATGAAATTATTTAGTTTTTTGACTAGAAACTGGAAAAAAAAAACAAGAGAAAAATTTGAGTAAAGTTCAAATGCTTGGTATTCCGAAGGTACATAAAATACAGAATCAAGCACATGTTTATTTTAAGCCCTTCACTAGGCATTTCAGAAATTGTTTGTTTAAAGTTCCTATCTTTTTCAGAATGGAAGTTATACTCAAAAAAAAAAGTTGTTATAAGAAAAAATTTCGTGAAAATTTCTGCAATTCCTCCTCTAACCAATGGTATATGTTGTTATATACCTTTCTGAATCACCCTGTTTATAATGTGGACTCAAAGTTGATGTTTTAAACTTATATATATCGTTGAATATCGGAATCAAATGAATAATTTTGCACAGTTTATTTTATTGCTTACATGTGTATATGTATGTATATTAAATATAAAATTAATGCTTAATATAGTGAATATTTATGCCGTTTATATTGTTGTTTACGGTACTATATTTATGTTACTAAAGTAAAGTGATAAATAAATCTTAGAAATTCCAAATTTGGTTTTTAATGAAATCGAACAAAGAATTCAATATTAATGCATATTTCCATTCCAAACATACAAAACTAAACTTAAATTTAATAAAAAAAAAACTGTATTGGATTATTTATTCATATATTTGTCATATTTGAAGAGATAGTTTAAAAAATTTTATAGACTCGATTAGGTACGCATAAATATATTTAATTTACCTATTTAAGTATGCTTTAATAAATAATTACAATATGTATTATATATATGTATGTTTATGTATATACGCTGTTGCATATTGACACTCTACATTCGTAATTTTAAAATAAAATATATATATAAAAGTAAAATAGAAGAAATGGTGAAAATTTTTATATAAGAATAATGTTAAATAATTTCCAATGTATACGAGTATATTAACTTTATATATGTATAATTCATTGCAGTGTACTTATAACCCTGCAAATTTGCATGCAATATTTATTTGAATTCATAAAACAATCGATGCTATGCGAAAGCTTCCAATTTTGATTTATACTTTTCTGCACATTTCGATCAAAATATCGCCAAGTTTTCAAGTTCAATATTATTTTTCAAAGCAGCAGGAGTACATATATTTAGCACGTAAATTTAACAACCTCGAATTTTGATAGCTTATTTTGATTTACGGGAATTTTTTTTTATAAAATGGTTTATTAACAATTAATACAGGGGAGAATACAAAATATATTCCAATATTACAAGAGTAGAATGAAAACGGTATTAGTATTTTATAGTTGAATTACCCTTAATTAATAGCACTCCAAAATCAATACATAAAATCACATTTTGTATTAAAGAAACAAGTTATATTTGAAGCATATAAATAAAGTAGTTATATAACAATTACATTTATTTAACTCGAAGTTGAACCTAGGTATAGCTAGGTAAATTTATTTTTAAATCTCTTGCTTTTAAAAATTTTTTAATCCCCATTGTAACCATTGATTAGATGGTTGCGATTAATTGGTATTAACCAATATGGTATAACAACATCATTTTGTGTATTGCAACATTAAAATAAACAAGAATCAAGTATAATACATTTACTTGTTGTTCTTTTACATAAGCCCCTTTTATTTTAAAAATTAACATAATCAAATTATTTTTGTTTTAAAAACAAAATTATCCTTGACAACCTAAGACAATTTGTTTTTAATTTTTGTATAATAAAAATTTTGTATACGTAAGTAAAGTTTTCACTTTTTCTGTAAAAATTAGAATACATTTTGAATTGAATGAAAATGGTTGAACAATCGGAAGAAGAAAAAGTGAATAATTCATCGTCTTATATATCTGGTATGTGGTTTTCAGAATCATGTACTGTACCAAAGGATATTATTGAATTTGAGTGAGTCATTTCGATAAAATTAAAATGTTTTAAATTTTATGTACAAATATTTTCAATTATATATACATAGTTATTCTTTTGGATACAATTGTAAAAAACTATTCAATTTATGTTTAATTACGGATAATGTATTAGTTTTTTCGTCTGGAAATTATATTCATTACTATCACATAGCAACTAAAGAATTGAAATATAGAAGAAGTGCTAGCGGTGGTGGAATTGGTTTCATTTTAGTAAGTTGATAAAGAAAAATTGGAAAAATATTTTATTTTAATTAATAGCCTAAATTTAAAATTTGTAGCTTTAATTTGGCTTCATTAATCCCAATAATTAAAATTTATGAAAGTTGTATATTGTCTGTTGCTTCTATATTATGTCTAAATTTCTATTCAAATATTGTAATTACAGAAAAATCCAAATCCAAAATTAAATTATTTAACAATTTGTGAAAATGGAAACAATCCATTAATAATTATATACAATTATCCGAGTAATGATATTATTGCAACATTAGAAGGCGGAGCAGATAGTTCATATACATGTGCAAAATATAGACCTGATGGTGAATTGCTTGCAACACAATCTGGTGAACCAGATTATATGATTACAATATGGAATTGGAAAGAAAGTAAAATTATTTTAAGATGTCAATCATATCAGAATGATGTTTTAAATGTCTTATTCTCACCATATAATTCAATATTATTAACAACATGCGGATTGGGGCATATAAAATTTTGGAAAATGGCAAAAACTTTTACTGGTCTTAAATTACAAGGTGATCCTGGTAGATTTGGTAAAACTGAAATAACTGATATCTATACAATTTATATGTTACCCGATGAAAAAGTTATATCTAGTTGTGAATGGGGAAATCTCTTATTATGGGATGCTGGTCTCATTAAATTGGAAGTTTGTCGAAAAAATCGAAAACCTTGTCATAATGGACCAATTACATTTTTGAATATGGATAATGGTGAATTAATGACTGCATCATTAGATGGTTACGTTCGTGTTTGGTTTTGGGAAACTGTTGAATTATCAAATCCACCAGATGATGATCGTTTCGTTGAAATCGAACCAATTTATGAATTCAGAATTGGTGATGATAATCGTTTATGTGAAATAAGAGATTTAATTAAAATAAAAATTTATGATCCTCAAGATTGTAGCTATTATGTTCAGGTATGTTATATTTAAGGAATAGAAAACCAAAAACAAAAATTCTTATTTTTTTAATATTCAAAATTTAATTCATTTCTCATACAACGTTTTCTCAACATATCTGGGTAATGTAAAAGCAGTCTTATGAATATCGCTTGTATAATATCTTAAATTCATATTATCGATTTCTTCCTTTGAAAATATCTTTACTGGTTCACATAATTTTTGATCTATATTTAAGCTACCTATAATGAAACCAATTTGCCCACATGGATATGACGGAACAGCAGTAACTGCGTGACCAACATTTGGAAATTGTTTTTTACAATTTTCTATAGTTTCTTTAACATGTTGCAAATCAGTCCAAAATGTACCACCTTGAGAACAAACAATACCACCAGGTCGTAACGCTTTACGCATTAATGAAAAATAATTTTCTTGAAAAAGTGATACAGCAGGTCCAACTGGATCTGAACTATCTGTTATTATAACATCAAATTCATTTATATGATTTTTCATATATTCAAATCCATCACCAATTGTTAATTTTAATTTTGGATTTTTAAATCCAATTGCCATATGAGGTAAATATTTTTTTGATAATTCAACAACGCGTTCATCAATTTCAATTTGATGTATCTCTTCAACTAATGGATGTTTTAAAACTTCTCTTGCAACACCACCATCACCGCCGCCAACTATTAGCACTTTTTTTGGATTTGAATGACAACAAAGTGGTATAAATGATATCATCTCTTGATAAGAAAATTCATCACGTTCTGTACATTGTATAATACCGTCAAGAATTAAACAATTCCCATAATTTGTTCTAAAAAAAATTAAAATATCAATATTCATTTGAAATTAAGAGTAACTTCTAAAAATTGTAAAAATTCTTTTAATTATAAAATATTTGTTTTAATTTTAATAGGCGGCATTCCACGTAAGCGTACTTCATATTAGTAAAATAAATGAATAATAGCAACAAAATTTATTAACAATTCAAATCTACTCACGTTTCAATTATTTTAATATCTTGAAATTTTGATTTTTCTTCGTGTAAAATTTTCTTTACTTTTAATGAAAAACATTGACCAGGCCACAATTCATTTTGTATTTCACTAAACCATCCATTGTGTATAACATCCATGATTTTAGAATAGAAGAGTTACAATGTATTGTTTTTATATTTCTTAGACAATTTTTAATTATTACTATAAAATTTTTATACAACAATTATTTATTAAATTAAATATTTTCCAACGGGAACTCGAAAATAACTAAACAATATACTTTTGCCGTTTCAATGTGAAGCATAGCCATACTATATTGGTATATAATGAAATGTAATAAAATAATAAAACTGATAATTAAATGAGAAACGTTTACACTATTATTATATGTACCTATATTGATATTGATGCATTACATTTAATTGATAATAAACCAAATGTACATATATACAAACATATGTACATATTCGTTTTGAATGAGAATTTTTGTTATCATGAATTTAACAAATAAATTTTCTTTCTATATTTACTAATACTCGTACAATGATTTTGGATTCTCTTCTTAAAATTTGATAATAAAATGAAAGAAGAGATACCAAAAGTTATTTATGGCAATTGTTAAGTGTTGCTGCTTTAAGATTTCTAAAAAATAGAATCAGAAAAATTTTCCATTTTAAGATTAATTATTGCAAATGCCTTCCTGAACAAATATTCTTTTATCAAAAAATTTTCTTAATTTAGTATTTGCTAGCAATATTTTCCTAACTTAATATTTGAATTTATAATATTGCAAATGAAATAAGATTACACTATACTATAGTATTTTTGACAAGTATTAGTTCGTTCATGAAACAAAAACATTCTTAAAACACTTTTGTTATTTTTCGTTCGATATTTGTTCATTTAAGATCTTTCAAATACAATAATAGGTTTGGACAATCAAAATTGTTCTACGGGTCAATCTTGTTTTTACGAGGCCATAAATTAATAAAAACTAAGGAATGCAGAACGTAGTTGGAATTGAGAGTTTTTAACTTCTATTCCTATAACCAAAAATATAAGAACAAACAATCGCCTGTAAAACAAGCACATAGTGATAACTATATGTTATATGGTTCCGAAACTATAAGTATTTATTTATATATAGGAAAAGTCCGGTACCTTTTGTTTTCAACAGGCTGTAGCTCAAAAACTAGCAAATCCGCACCACTACCCCCCTATCAGCATGATTTTTTGCTGGAAATTGTTCAAATGAATCATCCCTGAAATTATTTGCCATGGTATGTAAAACACCCTGATAGTTTAAAATAAATTTGGTCTTGTTTTTTGGTCTGGAAAAAACAATTGCAGCTGTTTATAAGGAAAATTTCAAAATAAATATTTTAGAAAAACTAAAGAAAATACTTGTAATTTCATAGAACTCAAATCAGTTGACTGGCCCCATTTTGAACGTGGATAGTATGCGGCTTTTTAATCTAAGGTTAGATTATCGTTATACCCAAAAATTCTAAAAAAGTATATACATAATATGTATTTATTACATAAAATTGTGTTTATTATATAACATTATAGTACAATTACTCTGAAGAATGTTAAATGGCAGTATATTTACATAATATTCAATTTAATAATTGTTATACACATCCATTTTCATATAATACATATATACGATCAATTTTATTTTTTACCGTTTTTTATATGAATTAAATTTGAGATAATTCATAAATAATATGTATGTGTAGGTAGTAAAAAATATAAAAATTTATTATAGATATACGTTTAAGAACAATTTAATAAAGAAACACCGATTCCCATTGTCAAGTCAATGATCATTGGTTTTAATTACATAGGTACATAAATTGTATGCATTCGAATACTAATGGTACATTTATTTAATGTTCGTGTTAAGGAGCTTTTCCTGTCTGTATATATAACTCATAATAAATACTGTTATATAATTGCAAATTGTATACGCTTTCAATCATACTCAATGGCTTATTAGTTAAAATTTCAATAAAAAATTATTCAATTTTGTAATTTATAGGTACTAAATGCATAATATAGTTTCGTATTTCTGAAGCAATAACGAAATTATTAATTTAAATAAAACAATGTGTGTATGTGCATAATATACAAAATTTCAATGTAATGTAGATTATGCTGTATAACTGTATACTTATATACTTGTGTTTATATACATATTATGTATATATTATTTTCTATTTTGAGGAGCATTTCTAAAAAAAAAGGAAGCTTATTCTTATTGAGTATATACATTATATAATTCATATATATTATTGAGTATAACATTATATAAACTTTAATCATTATATTCTTAATATGCATTACGATTAAATTTTAGTGTTACATAGTGTACAAGCCGTGAATTTTGAATTATGGAAACAATTTGTATACCTATATACGTACGAGTATGTGCACTTACGTACATGTAGTATCAATAACAGTTCTTATACATAATCATGTTTATATTTTAGTTGGCCCTGTTATGAACTTGTGTCTTTAATATTTTCGAGATTTGAGTAAATTTCTTGAGGAGTTATTTAGCACCTATCCTAAACAGGAACCAAATTCTGTCCGAATAGTTGCCCTAACATTTACCAAAGGCATTTTTTCGAGAATGAAACATTGTAGTATGCTTTCTGTGATTTCACCAAACTATTCTTGAAGTTTTGTGGCAGCTATTTTAAAAACTTTTGCGAACAAATTTTTATCACCTATAATACGAAACTTTTTCTTGAATAAAATTTAAGTGCAGTAGATTCTATAGCTTCCAAGATATAACAAATTTATTTTTAGAATTGTATAACAATCGTGATACCTGAAAAAAAATTTTATAGTTAAAAAACTTTCACTTTATACAAGTAATATAGTTCCTACTTGATCATAAATATAAGCGCTTCTTTATTATAAACATAATAGTATTAAATAAAATATGTATTACAATTAATTTTTATGATTAAAAAACATTAAGACTCTAAAATATTATGTGTACGTGGTAAATCTTAAACAAATACTGAGCAAACAAGTGTGTAAATTCTTTAAAGCTTCTTATTTTGAATTTATACAATGAATACCCGTAAGTCGAAACACCGAGTTTTCGTGTTATAGTTAATTTACACAAAAAAGTCTTGGATGTTTCAAAGAAATTTCTCACTAAGTTGTTCTATGAAATGTTCGTTATTTAAAAACTCCGCTTTACATAGCATTACTAAACATATTCAAAATACCCAATGTATTTAAAAATGATATAAGACCCGGAAGAAAATTTATGTATAATAAAATTATATAATTTATGTTTTTAAATAAATTATATAATTTTGTACATCAAAATCAGTATTACAAATTTCTATTACAGCATCCTGTACATATTCTAAATAAATACACGAACATGTTTGTACATATATACATACGTAAATGGATGTATAACACAAATTAAATATATATATGTAGTTAATGTAATAGATAACTCTTTTTTATTGATGAACTTGTCAATAGGTTATCGGAAATAATGGTAGAACGTATGTACATATGTAGGAAAATGTGCTATATAGCCAATATTTACGTACATACAACAAATAAGATTATTTTTAAGACATTTTCTCCTCCAATTTTGTAACAACAATTAATATACTTACATACATAATATTATTATAATAAAAATTGAATATTTCTATTCATGTTTGTTATTGCAATTATTATTATTAATGTTACAAATTGCGCGCTATCATTACGAAAATTTTGTAGAATATTAGAATGAGTATAAACTAGAATTTTAATTCAAAAAACTTAAGTTAAACGTATTAAAAACCTATTCATGTACATACATATGTATATGTATAGTGTTAAAAACATTTTAAGAAATTTAGGACCATTTTAAAAAATGTGTTTTCATTTCCTTCTGTATTTTAAGCACATTTTTATCACCTGTAATTGCAGACACGAACATCACATATAAAATATAAAATTTCAGCTATATACATATGTATGTATGTAGGTATGTATAACAAATTTAAAAAAAAACTGTGTTATAATCGCACACTTGTACTATATGTAATTGGTTGTAACAATCAGAAGAAATAGCACGGTTTTTTTAATTGTGAAAAACGATCAAGAAAAGAACAATTGAAACAGATATCGGATGGAGTGTCAGTTATTCCAAATTTTGTTTTACTGTACATACACACATAATATTTAATGTCTTACTCTGGTAATTACTAATGTTAACAGCCTTAAATAATAATATTTAAAAAGTGATTTTTTTTATACCCTGTAGTACATAAAACACGCTGTAAGTAAATACGAGTACGTACCATAAATATACATAAATTGTATACGTATTATTATGTTATATGCTACCAGAGCTATACATATTATTATGTTATATGCTACTAATGCTAATTTAATTGCTATGTATATTATTTGTATTCTTTCACTATCTTAGAAACAAAATTTTGCTAATTTTTTCATGTTCGATGATAATACTATCATGAAACAAATAAATTTAAATATTACCTACTACATAAAAAATGTAAGCGTGGCCAAAATTTAAACTTTTAATAAGAAAATTTAAAAAATTTATTTCTTTTTAAAGATAAGGAGAAGCTATCATAGGTTATGCTTATAAGCAAAATATGGGCTTATTACATTTTTATAGACAATGTCGAATTATTGTTAATTAAAATTTAATTATTTATTTTTAATTAATTAATTTAGTAGCAGTTAAGTATTTTACGGTCACCATAATAATAATTAATTTTATTAAACCTAATTGGTTAAATTTCAATACATTTTAGTTGAAGTCTCTTTTACTATCCTTTGTTCCATATAACACATTACCTCATCCCAAAATTTTCAATTCTTTTAAACGAAATATTAGTTATCTACAACCATATGCATATATATGCATATAGTCCTTGTATACGCACAAATCTATCGAACGAAATCTTCAATTTTCATAAATAAAAAAAGCCAAAACTAATGTTAATTATTTATTTTTTACAAACCAAATTAAAAAACAAAAAACAGTGTCTTTACAAAAAAAAAACCTACTTAAAATTGAAAATTTATATTAATAAATTGCTAATGGGCATCATCAGTCTTTAAAAACTCAGAATATTTTTGTTCATCCATTAATTTTTTCAATTCATCACGATCTGATAACTTTACTTTAAATAACCATCCTTTATCATAGCAATTCGAATTAATTAATGCAGGCTGATCTTCAACCTCGGAATTTTTTTCTACAACCTCTCCAGAAACTGGTGAATACAATTCACTAGCTGCTTTAACACTCTCTAAAGCTCCACATTCTTCTTTAATAGATAGTTTTTTGCCTACATCAGGTAATTGAGCAAACACAATATCTCCTAAAGCTTCTTGAGCATAATGCGATATACCAACTGTACCTATATCACCTGATACAGATACCCATTCATGTTTATCAGTATATAAACGCTGTTCACTTGATAAATTTACGCTGGATGTTGTAATATACTTTGGCTTGACTAAGTTACTCCGTGACAATGATTTACTAATTAAATACGTTGTTTGAACTATTTTTCTTGTGAAAACCATTTTCTAGTTTAGAATAATTTATATAAATCGATAATACGTACTTAAAGTTTTCTAAAATTTGGAGTTATTTTGTTTTGCGTACTTTCTGATTGAAATCTTTTTCTTGAATGACAATGAAGCAATTGACAATACTGTTTCTGATGCTTAATATTTTTTCCCAACAGTTAACACTCGCGTAAACAGCAATTATGTAGTTTTTCTCATTTATTTTTATTCAATTTGATAAAGTATATTTTGTTTATTATTTAAAAAAAAATCAATTCTTATCACTTGTATTGGAGGTCGTAAAAATCAGAAAAATATTTTCTCAATTTTGTAGGTTATGTTGCTTTTGTTATAAAATTATTGTCAAAACAACTTGCAGAAATATGATTGAGCTGCAAAGCAATTAGTGCTTCCGTTTTACCTATATTTACAGTAAACATATTGCACTTTTATCCTCAAAATATATTATTTAAGACAGATTATCATGCCAGGTTAAGACAGATTATTTCGCTCCTATTCTAATTTTAAAAATTGGAAACATGCTTTTTATCAGCTTGGAGCACTTTGAGGCTTAAGCACTTTGACAAAATTTTTATCTCCTTTTTTTAACAACTTTAATATGTCAAAAACCTTACAAGCACCAGTTTTTTCCCAATATTCTAGTTATTTATAACTTCTGCTTGAATTAACTAATTGGTATTTTGTAACAACTTTTTTTTTTAATCTCAAGATCAGAAAGAACATTTATCAATTATCGATATTTCCACTTATTAAATTTTTGAAGCCAATTTTGTTGGCATTTGAGCTGTAAGTAGTGTATAATTGAAAAGCACGTCTTCCCCGAGCTTCTCATATATCCAAAAGAGCCTTTACAGGAATTTTGGTAAAAAAAAGTAGAAATGTGTTGAATATAAGAATGAGTTGAACAAAATTACGTCCTCAAACATAAATAAAACTTGTAAGTTTTGCCAAATTCTGCAGAAGGAGTTAGAAAAATATTTTCGCATAATAATTCATTTCATACAATATATACATTCATACATTCATACTTACATATATAATGTATTTGAATATTAACTTAATATAATGTACAGCATTTTTATACACACATATGCACGAAGTTTGAAATAAAATGGAGAATCAAATTTGTATAAAGAATAAGTATATATGTACACAAGTACAAATTTCATGTAACCCAGTTAGTCAATTCCTAACCTATATCTTTACTAGGTTGTTAGTATTGGAAGGTACCCGTTATTATTCAAATATTTAAAAAGATTCAAAAATTTTGTTAATTTATGCAAGTAAAACACTGCAAGGAGCATTAAATAAAAAAAATTGAATTCCTAGCCAAAATTGACTGTTAATAGGATTAAAGATTAAAGAAATAACGTAAAATAAAACTAAACCCCAAATTGCTCATTTTTTTATCTAAAATTTTGTGCACTTTTTATACTGATCCCCCACAATCTACATAAATAAATACACCAATTATTTTTATTTTTAAAAATTTTGTTTGATATAAAAAATATGATTTAAATAATATTTTCAATTTATTCATTTTCACAGGATGGTAAGGGTGGTATATGGATTTGTTGGTTAGATAAAAATAATATACCTGAAACACCCCGCCTCATTTATTCATGTCATGGGGGCGAAATTATGTCGGCTGACACAAGTCCTATATCTCCACATATCACTACGATAGGTGCTGAAGGAAGATTGCATTTTTATAACTATGAAAAAAAAGAACTACAATTCACCAAACAATTTACTTATCCTGGAAGTGATTTAGTATGGTTGCCAACAGTGCTGGACTCAAGTGGTTGCGTTATTATTGTCGGTTTCGAAGATGGTATTATTCGAGAATTTGTAATAGAATTTGATTCAAATTTAACAACGGTAAAAAATATTCATTTAATTGATGTTATCAAACCGCATAATAAAGCAATCACTAAAATTACTACAAATTTAAAAAAAGGAATTTTGATATCTGGGGCAAAAGATTATACAATTTTTGTTCATGCAATTATAAAAGATGGAGAAAGTTATGTTAAATTATTACCAATAGGTTTTGTGAAATTAACTTCGGTTCCGACAGCTTTCAATTGGGATGACGTTGATGTGAGTTTTAAAAATAATTGATGACTAGAATTAAATTTATGTAATATTGTATAATTATGGTTCTTTTGGAAATAATTGTTTTGTTTTCTCAACACAATAGAAAAAGTTATTAATTGGGACTAATTCTGGAGAAATTTTTGAAACAGATTTGCCTAATGAACCTGGTGATACGGAAATTACATACGCTTTATTTGATATTCGAATAAAAAAAGCAACATTTAAATCTGTAAAAAGTAAAATTCGGCGGGATATTCGCTTAAGAGAAAAGGAAAAGAAAAAAGCAGCCAAAAGGCAGAAAAAAGTAGATGAGCTGATGAAGTCAAAGGAATTAAGTCCAGGAATGGAAACCGACTTAAATATAATTAGCGGTAGGGGTAATAAATAAAATTATTAACTTAGGCTTATTTAAATGATATTCACACGAACAAAATAATTGAATACATTTTTTTAGAGGATTCTGAGGAGGAAGAAGAAGAACCTCCACTTTATTATCCGCCAAAACCAAATTCTATATTTTGGTTAAAGTACACTCCAACAGAAACGGTATGGATCTCAGTAGCTGGATATGATGCTGGTTATATATATGAAATTGACTTTGACAAAGATGAACCTGAAAAGAGTACAATGGTAGTTGATGGAGATGATACTGAAATTTATTGTTGTGAATTAATGTAAGATTTGTTTTTATTTTTTTACGTAATAATTAGGTAAATTAATAATTAGTAAATCGATAAAATTAATTGCAAAATTGCTTTAATTTCAAGATTTTTACGTTCACTTTTTATGATGAATAGAAATTTTTATTTTTAATTTATAGTGATGAATATTCAGTTTTTGCCACACAGAATGGTTTATTACGTATAAATTCAATTAAACCAAACAATTTTCTTGATTTAACTGACTATTGTTTGCTAGGAGTACATGATAACAAAATCGCACGTGTTTCAAAAATATGTAAAAGTTGGGATGGAAAAAAAATATTTACTTGTGGATATGATGGAAATATATTCTCATTTCAATGGAATGGCTCAGTAATGCATGAATCCCTAACATCAAAAACCGATTATATTCCGCCAAATGTTGTTAAAGATATTGAGGATATTAATTATCCTTCATTAGAAGAGCAAAAAATTAAAGCAGAAGAAGACAAAAAAATGAAAATAAGAAATGATCGTAAAGAAAAAATGTTAGGTGTTGCAGCTATTTATCGATTTCAATTTAAAGATGTTATAAGAAGAAATAAAATGATTGCTCCATCTCAACAGTATAAAGACGAGGAATTAGATTTAGATGAAAGAATAACCAATAATTTAAAATCAACTCTAGAAACTGAATTAAATTTAGTTAGAAGAAAATTAGCTTTTAATGTTGAAAAGGCAATTTTAGGTAAAAAAAAGGTAATGGATTATTTTATAACTCCTTTGGAACATATGCCATTTGAAATTCAAGGAATAGGGTAAGTTTTCTATAGTTATACATATTTTTTAGTACATACAAAAGCAGTTATTATATTTCCTTAATTAAAAATTATACAAAAATATTATATTTAAAAATGAATTGAAATTTTTAAGGAGTGAAACAGTTGTGAAATCATTTCGAATTAAAAAATTGAGTCCCGAAATTGAAGATATTAAGAAAGAGATTGATAAAAGATTATTACTATTAGGAGACAGCACAAGGCAAGTCAAAACATTGCTTTATTGTAATAATTATAAAAGCAAAGATTTTATTTTCGAAATATTATTTTAAGTATTCAAAACAAACCTAGTAACTATTCATAATATTATGTGATTAGAAATTAATTGAATTTTTTTTTGACAAATCTCAATAAGTGTACAAAAAGTGTGCGGATACTATTAAATCTATTTAGATTTCTGTGCCATTAAAATGAGGAATATTATTTTTTTTTTTTGTTATAGAAGCTCAAATTAATTAATAAAATATAAATGAATAGTAAATATTAAAAATACAAAATATAATCGATAATTTTTAAAATGTATTTTTTAATATCTTTAATTTTTAATTTCCTAATAATTTGAAAACAGTGACGAAAATGGAGATGAAATAAGGTACATAATTTTATTTAAAAAGAATACCTAATTGCCTTTTGCGATGATTGAAATATGCACTTAATTTTTAGAAAATCATTTTTATAATTTCAAAATAAGTATACTTTTTCTTTGAGTTCTTAAAATTTCATTTAAATTAATTGAGATCTATACATTAACTAATGCTAGTTTTATCTAAGTATATTCTTTATAACACCTGATACTCACTTGCTTTTAATTAACAAAAATTTATTAATTTGCACTAGAAATGTTTACAAAATATAAATTGATTGAATTATTTTAATTTTATGGGATAGCAACTTTTACACAGTAGTTCTTATTCAAAACTGTTTTGAAAATGTCAAAGGTTTTCACAGTCACTATTCTTATATTTTAAAACACTAAAATTAATTATTTATTAAAATGACACTTACAATTATTTTTCAATTTTAAATTAATAAATTATGCTAATTTTACATAGTGCTATGGATTTATATGAGACAGAAAAAAGTTTTGACATTAGTATGCCAGATCCACCAGAAGAAACATTTTTTTTAGGTTTAAATCCTGATGATATAATACCAAAATTTCCACCAAAAATGTTGCGTTTATTGGAACGTTATAGAGAAAGGAAACAGCATCAAATGTTGCGTTATGTAGATTGGGAGAAAATGAATCATAAAAAACCGAATCCAAATAAAAATCATATTGATGATATTAAATCTATTGCAGAAGCTGAACGTTCAATTGGTGATTACAAATTGAAAACTGATCCGGAATATGAACCTAAATCTTATGATAATGTTCTAAATAAATATAAAGAGTTATTAAGAGCAAGAGAGATGTTATACAAAAATAAAAAAGAATTCAACAAAAAATTATATGAATTGAGAAAACGTAAGAATAAACTTTATAAATTAATTAAAAGTAAGACCGAAGAAATTAAATTAATTCATATGTATATACCGGAGAAAAAGAAAAGAAATCTTCCAAAAATAAATGATATTGATTTTACAAAAGAATATCCAGGAGATAGTTTAATTGAGCATGTGAAACCTGGTACAGGGATTGAAATTTCAGATTTATTTAAAGATGAAAAAATTTCAAGTAGCTTAATTAATACCTCGTCATTAATTGATTTAACTTTATTGAAAGAAACAATGACTGAAGAAGATCAAACGGAAAATTTTCGTCGTATAGTTATTGATATTAGTGAAGTAAAGTCCATATCAAAAATTGATTCAATAATGAACGATTCTCCAACATGTTTGGAGTTTTCAGATATAATAAAATATAGTTCAACAAGTGATACTCCATGGGAGTTAGAGATGAAGTATCAAATGGTAATAAATAAAATAATTGAACAAGATGAAATTATATCGGAAGTCACATATAAAATCAAAGAATTCGATGATAACTTATTAGAATTGGGTGAAAGTAAATTACAAATTGAAGTTGATTCAAAATTTTTAGAGATATACTTAATAACTTTAAACGAAGAACTAGTTATTTTAAAAGATTGTGAAAAACTTGAAAATGAACTATCATCAAAAGCGCTTAAAGCTATGAGCGAAAGGAATACTTTGAAAACTTATATCGATGGATTAGCTAAAAATATTGATAGCATTAAGAAACAATACGACAAGATGAATGACCAGATAAGACAAATTTCTAACAATTTTATGGGACTTATTAAGGGAAATAAATTTTGTGATTTTTTAAGAAGAATATTTAAAAAGAAATGTCGGTCTCGTAAAAAGGCGGTTACTAACAATAGTAAGCTAGTTTCAATATTTATTTTTTAAGTTGTTTCACTTTTTAAGAATGCTTATTGTTTCAAAATTTATTCGAAATTGGGAAACAGTAAATATTTTCCAGTATGCTTTTGCTTGATTTTCATTACAGTAATTTATATGTTCTAAGGACCTGTTCCCACCATAGGACAATGTTAAATGTAATGTTCTAAACTTTCTTTTTTAGATGAATCTCAATCAGATTCTTCTTCAGAATCATCAATAGAGGAACGAAATGATGAAAGTTTATCTTCTTTTGATATAATACCAACACGGCTAGATGAGAATGTTTGTCCACCAGGTTGTGATAGAAAACTTTACGATTTGGCATTTAAATTGCGAAATGAGAGACATGATCTTGAAGAAGCTATACATGTTCAATCGAAATTAAGGGATGAAAAACAAAAGGAATTAAACGATCGAAGAACAGCATTAACAATATCTGAATCAGTTTTCGCAAAAGAAAGAAAAAAATTAACGGATTTTCGAGTAAATTTTATACGTTTAAAAAATATTAAGATATAGTATTGATTAAGTTCAACTTTTAAATTTTATAGCGTCAAAAGCAGGCATTATTAAATAAAATATCAACAGTTGTTATAGTCCAAATGGATCAACTCCAATATTTAAAAGAAAAAGAAAATATTAATAACATACCAAAAACTTTACTATTTAGTTCTGATAATGTTTTTCAATTATATTCAAGAGTTGGCCAATTAGATCTTGAAACCTTAGAAACCAAAAGAATTCATCGTATTAATATTATACACCTAACAAGAATGACTACAGACTGTAAATACATGAATCGCCAAATACATTTACTTCAAGAAAAAATTCAACAGGCCATGTTTCGTAAATTTGGTTGCCAACTAGATGTTAATCAATTAGAAGAAGAAACATTAAGAAGATTTATATTTCAATTACAAACAACATTAGATGAAGAACGAAAAGTTATTATGGGACACGTAGAAGAAAAAAAAGTTAAAAATTTCGTTATGAAAATTTTTTATTGTATCATTTAAATTTATATTTTAATATTTTATAGAAACAATTGATTGAACTGGAAAAAACTTTGAATAGAGAAATTCAATTAGGAGCCGAAAAATATAACATTTTGACTATCTTGCAAGAAGAAAAAAATATTTTAAGAGAGGTTTTAATTTTACAAAATAAAAATTTTGAAAAGCAAACCATAAGAACTTCACCTGATTTTCGGCAAGATTTACAAAAATTGAAAGATGTTGAAAGACATCAAAAAAATAGAATCGAAGTATTTAAATTATGTAGAATTATAAAATTTTTAATATTTAAAATTTTTTTTAGAGTTTAGAAAAGGAAATTAGATCCTTACGATTTAAGACAAGACCTCTTCAAGTTCATCCTAAAGATGGTGAAGAACCTTTACAACCAGATAGTACAGTTGAAATTTTACCACCAGATGATTTATTAAATGATGATGAACGATTGTTCAAAAATATCGAATCTATAATGCCGACAACTCATCTGTATGGACCTGATGTTTTTACTATTGATAAAATTAAACGAATCGTACACACATTTATGATACGAAATTTTAGCAAACAAATTATGCCAGAAGATTCAATGAGAAAATATATTGAAAAAATTTCAAAATTTCTTGGATATGTTGCAAAAAATTTTGAATGTGATGACATGGAAAAGGTTATGGAATGTATTGTTGAACAATTTCAAAATATTGTACCAAAAAAGTATCTTTTACATGTTCAGCCACAGCAAATTAAAGATCTCTTTAATGAAGTTGTTAGCGTGTTTCGCTATGAAAAAATTGAAATTAACGTTGAAGAAGTTATTGTTGGAATTGTAAGTAATTCGATGCAAATTGTTCAGCACAGTAGACCAAAACCATCTAATTTTACCCAAGCATGGCTTGTCGAAATTTTTAAGGAGATGATTGAAGTTCTAACAGTTGGAGATCTTAAAAGATCTCAAACAGTAAATAAATTAAGCGAATTACTTTTAAATTATTCAACATTCATACCAAAATCTATCGATTTGCATAATTTAGTGAACGATGTTTTGGAGTATGCCAGATCCAGTTTATTAGATGAATTCACTCAACATCCTATAAAAGAATTTGCAGAATTATTATATAGGAAATTAAATAATCCAATAAAATCTGAAAAATCGTAGATTATTTATAGTTTTATTAGATATTTTTTATATAAAAATGAACATATTTTTAAATATCTGTCTGAAAAGTAAAAATTAAAATTTATTTTCTTATCTGACAAAATAAAAGTTTTTATGTACCTTAATGCTTTTTATTAAAATTAATTCCAAAGTTCATAAAAAGAGACAACATATAACATTCATTTTCTGTTGATGACTCTATTTATATTTTTATTTTGTATTGCTCCTAGGTGCAGCATATTTTAATCTTAGATTTTCATAAATTCTTCGCTCTTCTGGACTAACTGAAGGTTTAATTAATCTTAATGCATCTAAGAAATGTTGCAATGTTAATTTCAAGTCCTCTGGTTTTATTTGTACAATGTTCATAGAATCTCTTAAGGCTATGAAGGATGCTTGTCTCAAAAGACCCGCTAAATCTGCGCCAGTAAATCCATCTGTCAGATCAGCAATGTTATCAAAATGTACACTTTCATCAAGTAATGGTTTAGAACGATTTTTCGTTAATGCTTCCAAAATTTCTATTCTATCTTTCCGCTCAGGAAAACCAACATACAAAACAGTGTCCAAACGTCCGGGCCTTAAAATAGCTGGGTCAATAATATCTGGGCGATTGGTTGCAGCTAATAAATACACTCCTTTTCGATCTTCTATACCATCCATTTCGGTTAATAATTGGTTCACGATTCTCGTCCCCGAGCCACTTTCATTCCCTTCTGATCTTTTGGGGCATAATGAGTCAAATTCATCGAAAAATATAACACACGGAGCTGAGTTTCTTGCTCTCTGGAAACATGTTCTTACCGCTCTTTCAGACTCACCAACGTACATATTCATTAATTCTGGACCTTTAACTGATATAAAATTAATTCCAGCTTCATTCGCAATAGCTTTTGCTAACAATGTTTTGCCGCAGCCCGGTGGACCAAAAAGTAATACACCAGAAGCAGTAGTCAGCCCTAATGCTTTCAATCTTTCTGGGTATTTTACCGGCGCCAAAACAGCTAATTGCAATTCGCTACGAATGTTTTTTAACGAACCGATATTATCCCACGTAACATCAGGGACAGTTATAAATCCTTCTCTTTTGGCTGACGGTTGCAAAATCTTAACAGCATCTGTAAAATCGGTCATTTTTAAGCATAAATCGCTTAAATCTTTTTCTTTTATGTCACAGAAAGCTCCATGAAGCCAATGTAGTAGTTCCAACAAAGACGGATCCTTCTTTGTATGAGGTATTTCAACGAGCTTTTTATCTGTTTTGAGTGCTTCACTGTCTTTGGAAGCAACCGTTTCCTCTTCTTTCTTTGACAATTCAGTATTTTCACTGATTTTTGTGCCTGTTTCTTTATCTTGAGTTGTTTCTTTATTTTCTTCATTTGCTTTGTCTTCATCTACATCCATAGCATTTGTGTCAAGAGATTCTGTTTGGCTTTTTGGTTCATTTTCATCTGATTTTTTTTCAATACTTTCAGTTTTTTCCTGTTTTTCTGTTTGATTTTCTTCTGCTGATTCAGTTTCCTTGTTCTCTTTCGTATTTATCTGATCATTTTCTCCTGGATTTTCGTCTAATAGATCTACTATTTCAATATTTTTCTCAAGCTCAGCCTGCCTTTTTCTTATTTGTGTGAAATATTTACGTTTAACGGCAATTGAAGCAGCCCGAAATGCTAATGCTTGCAAATCACCGGCAACAAAACCAGGTGTAAGTTCAGCTATTTTATCGTAATCAAAATTTTCTTCCAACACTAATTTCTCACATATAACCCTTAAAATCTCTTCACGTCCCTTTCTATCTGGAATTCCCAAAGCTATTTCATGATCAAATCGACCAACTCTTCTTAACGCAGGATCTAGTGCTTCCGGTCTATTAGTCGCTCCAATAATTAAAACCAAATCACCGTTCTCCATATTTTCAAGTCCATCTAAGCTACTTATTAATTGTGATACAATTCGCCTTTCCATATCTTTCTGTGCATTTATTCGATTTGACGAAATGGCGTCTATCTCATCTATAAATAAAACACATGGGGCAAAGTAGGCGGCCTGTTCAAATACTTCACGTATCCGCTCTTCTGATTCACCAGAAAGTCCAGCGATTAGTTCAGTTGCTGGAACACGTAATAATGGAAGTTCCAAAGTTCCAGCTATAGCTTCTGCAAGCATTGACTTTCCACATCCGGTGGGTCCATGTAATAAAATGCCTCTTGGAGCTGATAAACCAATGTGGTAATAAATTTGAGGATTACGATAATGAAAAAGCAGTTCACATAATTCCTTCAAAATTTTTTCTTGTCCCCCAATTTGCGAAAAAGTGAATTGTGCGGTTTCCGGTATTATTTCTTTTTTGAATCTTCTACCTCGAGTCATGTGGCTAGAATTTAAAAAATTTTTCGGAATATGCCCATTACCTGTAGAATTTGGCCATTCATTTTGCTGTAATAATGTTTCTAACTTGCGCTTCTTACTTGCACTTTTCTCTGTAGTTGCCGTTGGAGGTTGCGATGTAGTTTTCAGATGAAGTAACCCTACACGTGGTAAGTCTGGTGTGACAGTAATCTTTGCAGGATTTTGATTGGAGGTTTTGTTGGACTGTGCTGCATCATTAACTGCTAATTTTGTAACTAGAACTTCTTTAGATAACTTCAGAGCAGAATTATCTGGTGGCTTTCCATTTGTGCCACCATTGTCATCTTCACTATCATCACTGCTTATGTCGATAGCTTTATCAGCATTTGAAGACAGGTTTGGTACATTTCCTGTTGTATTTCTATTAATATTACCCTTATTATACAAGTTAGTAAGCATGTTATTCATTTGATTTGAGTTTGTTGAATTATCGTCCATCATTTCAACTTCAGAATTGTTATCATCACTTGAAGGATTGCTATCCAAGCCATAACTATGCAATACTGTTTTATAAGCTTGTTCAACTAAAAGACGAAACGGTCCCGATTTTCTTCTATTGTATTCTCGGTATCTATCCTGCAGTTGTTTCGCCATTACCGAAACATCAACGTATGTTTGGTGGACATTTTCTTCTAAATATTGTTTGACCCTTTGAATAATAAGCGGATCATACAAAATTGGCTTGTTTTTTCGCAACATTCTGGCTATGCTTTCAAAAAAAGTTCGGAATAATAATTTGCCAATATAGGTTCAAATTTTAAATTTTATACAATTTAATTATAGTTTTAATATTTTAACTTTTTTGCAATATGAAATGAAGAACATGTTCGAACTAAAATCTAATTCTTGCCGCCATGACCAGAATGTTGTTGAATGAGCAAAAGTGTTACCAATACAAAAATATTTTAAAGAGGCCAAAATTAAACAAATTCCTTATGAAAGTATTTTCATAATTCGTTTTACCAGAAAGAATTTTTTTAAGAAACATATTAAATACATAATCTAATCAACTAACAAAAATTATGTTTTGGCAAATATTTTGAGCCTATTTTATAACTCTTATGTGAGTGTTTAAAATAAACAATATTAACACGAAAATTAACACTAAATAACAACAGAATTACATTTTTGGTCAAATTTCGAGATTTTGAGTAAACTGGTAATGCTGTAAAACTAATTTTTAATTTTTCAATTGACATATCGCTTTTCATATTCAGTAAGAATGCTTTGTTGCTCAACGCTCACATTAAATTAAATATGTATGTATCACATCCAATTTGCTCAATTATTTCAAGCCAGCGATTACACATCAAGCAAAGTCTGACGCTTTTGAAAGATTGTTCGGAACTCTGATGAAAATTTGATGGGTAAACATTCAATCAAATCAAACAAAATTGTTCCAGAAAAATAAAGTCTTGTCTAAATCTTATCAAATTTTTGACAGAAATAAAATCTTTAAATAAAAAAGATTATATAATTTTTTTTTCTATTTTTAATATATTAACTTATTTGTTTTCTATCATAAATTCTTAACTCTTTCACAATTTTACTTTGTAAATGAATCTTAAGGATCCATTTTAATGGGTGAGAAGGATACGTAGGTACGAATGACAATTATTGTTAAAAACTTGTTATATGTAATTTTATGTGAGTATTTTTTATAAAATTTGTTTTTACAAAATTTTCCAAAAGCATGTTTATATAGTTTAATTTTTAAATTTCTAAAATTTAAAATTATTTTTCAAAAGAAGTTTATATTGTTAAATTTTGAATTCGTAATTACATATAGATGACAATAACCAGATTAATTTGGCAGAAAAATGATAAGAATAAATAGAAAAATAATGAAACTACGTGTTGTCAAATCGAAATATCCAATACGTTACGTAGTCGCGTAGATCATTTATGTCCGTCAGATTTAAAATGTACGAGAATGAGAATGTTTTGAAATAAGCACTATGCGATACGTGTTCATTAAGGTCATACCTCATTTTTTTCAAATCTATACTTTTCTTTTAATTAATGTCAGACTGAAGCATACAATATCGTAGTATTCAATCCGCACCGTGGATGAAGTACTTTATTTTATGAAGTAATATCATAAAATAAAGTGGGAAATTAAAATGAAAAAAGAAACAGACCTATTTGTCATCAACTTTCTGGATAAAAAATTTTTTTAATTTGTTATAAAATCTATGACATTTTTCTTAATTCATCAGTTAGTTTTCGATTTCTACTGCAAGTTATTTTGTCTATACTGATATATTATCTCGCATATCTAATTTTTAACTGTAGTGTAAACGTAGCTAAGACTGTCCAATTGAATTTCCATTTTCAAAGCAAATTAGAAAAGTCAGGCGTGTTATGTAGTATATTTATATTTCGTTTTCAATGAAACATCTGCTTTTGGTTTAGCGTATGTTATAATGGAAATTTGTAGTCACTTTAGTAAACATAATAAACTATAATAAGCTTATTTTATTTTATAACCGCACGTAGTTTGAAAACGGTTCATTAAATTTCACTTCAATCAATTTGAACATTTTTGCAAGTAAAATGATAAGTGTATTAAAATGGGAACAATTACTACGACATCACGTTGTAACAAATCATCAAAAATGTTACATGTCCGTGTTCCCTAAACAATATATATCAGCAGTCTTTAAAAAGGAGAAGCAAAAGGAGCTTGTTGAGTCTGGGGAGGATTTAAAGTTGGTTCATATTCCAATTAAGCCAGCTAGGAATAACGACACATCGTCAGTTTTTCATGACGATCTTATTAGTAAATACACTAATTATATTATGCGAAAAGGAAAAAAGTCTTTAGCAAGAGAATTACTTGAAAAGACATTTGAGAATATTAAGAGAACTCAATTAGAACGTTATAATCTAGCAGATGCTGAAGAAAAGGAGAAGATTGTGACAAATCCAAAATTGATACTTCATCAAGCAATAGCAAACTGCCGGCCTCTTATGGAATTAACTCCAATCAAAAGGGGTGGTGTTAAGTATCAAGTCCCAGTTGCTGTAACAGAAAATCGGTCCTTATTCTTGGCGATGAATTGGTTAATTCAAGCTTCCAAAGAAAAAGAAAGGAATGTACATCTTCCAGAAAAAATGGCATGGGAATTACTTGATGCAGCTGCTGGCCAAGGCCGGGTAGTTAAACGAAAGAATGATTTACATAGGCAATGTGAAGCTAATAGAGCTTATGCTCATTACAGATGGGGTTAGGAAAATCTTACAAATTAAATATAATTTTATATATTTTTCATATAATCTAATAACAAAGCATAAAAGTAATGTAATTAAATAAAATAGTTTTAATCGCCAAAAATAGAAGAAAAACTGGCTGGATCTGTTATTTCACCAAATCTATGCATTAATTTAAATGTCGATGATTTAGAATTGTTCATTTGGACAATCTGATATAAATTTAAGATTGCATTATTTATATTTGAAACTTCTTCATAATTATGGGTTGAATCGTTTCTTTTTCCCCAAAAATCTACATAAGAAAATCGCAAATATTGGTTATCAGAATTAAGGTAAATGAATCCAATTACGTTCTGGCACAAAAAGCTTGCAATGGATAGAGTTATTAGTCCTGTAAATCCTAAAACAAAATCATAAAACAAATTGAAAGGGCAAAACATATATGATATTAGGATTCTTACCTAATGATAACACAATAATAGTAGTTTGAGGAGGTAATTGTGATGAGGTTTCTAAAGCAAAGCTTATTGGGGCTGCTATTCCCGTTAAACCAGCCTGATAAAATTTTAATTTATGGAATGAGGCTATCCAGCGAACCATTGGTAGACGGTAAATTACACGCCATTCTTTTTTATCAGAGTCTGCTATGTCTTTCTTTATTTGACTTGAACAACTTATTCGGCAATTTCGGTTGATATTTATTTTACGAAGTACAAATCTTGGCAGAGAAAAAATTTTTGCATACAAAATCATACCGAAAAAAAGTTGTTTCTCATTTGAAGAGAGGCTATACGTAACATGAGCATGTTTATTATTTTAAATATTGTGCTTTGACATATAAACAAATACCAGCTGGTTGTCAATCTTTAGTCATCCCAATTCGAATGTTGGAAATATCATATTTCTGACATATACGCTTCTAAGGATTTGAAAGTCATAAGTAACAAAATTGTGTTTTCAAAATTTAAGTGGAGTTGGAAAAATATTTTTATTTAGAAACTGTTCTTTATATTAATTAACGATCATATCCTTTGGATATGTTATCTTGTTCGATAATACAAATAAATTCTGTCAAATTAATCTATATTTCACTGCTTTGTGACTTAGATTAAAGATTTTTGTCAAAATCTTTACAAAATCTCTTCTTTACTTTTTTTTCTTAATATAGTTATAAAACAATTTTTCTTTCCGATAATGGTTACCTTTTCCTCCTTTTTTTTTTGGAAAAAGAAAATTCTGTGCGCGAGTTTACGTTCTTATCAAAATTTATTATGGTAGATTTATGTTATTTTACATGAAATCTTCCAAAAGTGTTGATCGGCAACCAAGTGGTTAATTCAGACTATGCACTAAGATTTGGAAATCAACTACGAATTTTTGGCTGAACTTAGTTCTAAATTTAACTTGCAATTTTAATTGAAGTAATGTTGATTTTTTCAGGAAACTTTCTCTTTTAATTAATCTGCCTGGCCGCAATGATCAAAACATGTAAATTTCTGAAATTCTGTACTGCTTATTTGCATATGATTTTTTTGTTGTATTTCGTTTCATATTGTACATTTTTCATTAATGCTGTGTACATATATTCCGAATATTTAGAATCTGTTATGCGTTTCTAAAATAATTGATCAGATCATCAATGCAAACGCAGATGATAATTATTTCAGTGATTTCATTCACCAATGTTTTTTATTATTTTTTACAGCTCTGCATATCCCTATTTCAAAAAATAATTGTGGTTATGTTTGAAACATAAACAAAATCTAATAGCTACCTTTAAAGTTTAATTAGAAATTAAATAGGTATCTAGTTGCATATTTTTTAATGTAACAATAAAAAGTTTATTACAATATTTGTCGGATTTGCTATAAAAACAAGGATATAATAAAATACACGAATTGCCATTCCACGTAAAAAGAAACATACAATATAAAAGCCGATTTTAAACGTTTAAAAAGTTATTGGGAAACTGTGTCTTGAAAGACAGAACTTGATATATTATAAGAATTTTTATCCAAATTTATGAAAAATGGCTTCAGGTTTAGAATCTTATGTTAATCATACAGTGTCAGTTATAACCGCAGATGGTAGAAATTTCATCGGCACATTGAAAGGATTTGATCAAACAATAAATATAATTTTGGATGAATCTCATGAAAGAGTATTTTCAACAACTTCTGGTATTGAGCAAATCGTTTTGGGTTTGCATATAATAAGAGGCGACAATATTGCAGTTATAGGCCAGATTGACGATACAATAGATTCTAGATTAGATTTTTCTTCAATCAGAGGAGAACCATTAGGTCCCGTAGTACACTAGTTTTTTGATAAGAGTCAACAAGTCCTATGAGGCATAAAGAAAATTTAGAAATCCGAAACTTATCTTAATTATATGATATTTTCCAAATTTTTCAAAAAATATTGAAATCTTGTAAATTAAATTAAGAAATAAACAAATTATTTTCATTTTCAGTATGAAAAATATTCAAAGAATGAATGCCAAAATGTTGTTTTAATTTCAATTATCTTAAATCAATTATTTTAATTTTATGGTTTATCTAAAATATTGCTGCTGAGAATTCCAGGGTTGGGACTGGTTATTTGGGTCAAATTGTCCATAGTGCGGAGGTTGCATTTGGCCAAATTGCCAAGCCGATGGTGGCATTTGCATTGGACTCGCTTGCATAGGCATTGGCCCCATCGGTGGGGGAGGTTGAGGAGGTGGCTGAACTGATGATATTGTTCCATAGTTTTGTGTCATTACTGGTTGCATTGTTGGAGCGCTATATGTGTTCGCGGCCATCCCATAAGAAGGTTGATATGTGGTACCTGTTTAAATAAAATAAATATTACGGAAAAATAAGGTTTAAAAGGTTTTGTTTACTATAAAATGCGGCAACCATTGGAGTCATTGGTGGAGGTGGCGCTTGAACATGTGTCATTGGTAACTGAGGTTGTTGCTGTATACTGATTTTACTCATAGAATGTTGAGCTTCTTGAATGGATGGATTTATTGGATTTTGCGCAGACCTATTTATAGAAGACGACGACATTTGATTAGTTCCTGCTGAAGTTACACCCGACATAGATCGTGATGAATCTATGGAAGACTGGCTTTTGCAAATGTTTGGAGAAGTTATTTGTCCAACAACTTGAGATCGAATCTGCTGATTGACTTGTGATTGGGCGCTGCTTGAAATATTGGGCTCGATAATCTGAAATGGAAATAAACAATTTTATAAATTAAAAAGGTAAAGGAATAAAGTTTTTACCTTCCTGGACATACTTTTAGCTTCTAATACAGATTTATCTACTGCAACAGGTGGAGGTGGAGGCTGCGTAACATGGCGGTGATTAATATGAGCTTGCAAATCTCTCTAAATTTTCAATTAGAATAAGAAATTTATTCTTTTTTTTTTTCGAAAAAACAACATTACTTGAGATAGATAAGTGCGTCTACATCCAGTTGAACCATAGCGGCTACCTCCGTGAATGCACATAAAAACTGATCCTAAGCCAGATTCTTCTACTCTTATAACTTTCTCTTTACATCTGGGGCAATTTTTTATTGCTTCCGCTCTCGCACATTTTAAGCAAAACACGTGCTTACATTGAATCATACGCCCATAAACTAATATTGGTTTATCACATTGATCGCAACAATGTATCATGGGATTTAAAACTTTTTCTCCAATCAATGAAACTTTATGATCCCACTTTAAATGGAGCATTGGTTCTGGTGGTCGTTTTGATAAAGTTGTGAAAGTTGGAGCCTCTAATTGAGAAATATCAGCTTCCATATCAACTAGCGATATTATTAAAATTATAATTCATTACTTTAATATTTTATAAAATTAAAGTACTTGTGTGTTGTGGCGTCATATTAACTCCGGGTAAATCGGTACTCGTAAGACTTTCTTCTACTGATTTTACTTGCATTTCATTTTCTTTGTTGTCTTCTTCAGGAGCCCCTGCTTCAACCAAGTTTTCATTGTGGGAGCTAACTACATTTTCATCTGGTACGATTTCTTCTATAGTTTCTTGGGGAGTTTCTTCGTCGTCAGAAGATACAATTCGTGTAGCTTTTCTGCCTACGAAACAAATAAATTTTTGTCTATGCATGTAAAATTTGCTAGAACAATTACCTCGACCTCTTCCTCTTCCACCTCTCCCACGGCCACGTCCTTTACCTCTAGTTTTCTTTGCATCCATTTAAAATTTAAATATTGGTTCTATTAATTAAAACAAAACTTGAAATATTACAATCGCTTTTTTATTTTTATATTTGCATTGCATTAGCAGCAGTTGTCAAATATATTAAAATTTGTATATATTTATTTACGCCAGGGTTGAAATGATATGTTGACGTTAACTAATAAGATGCCGTTTCCATAATCGACATTAAATCAGCGACGAGGTCTGATGGTTGGTTACATATCCGGCTACTGCAATTCAGATCTGATTACTGCAAAAATCATCTGATTACTGTTCCAAACTCCCACCGAAAAATAATTGTCGCCATTTTACTTTCAGAAAATCTAATAGTAATTTGAATAAGATTAGGGTAATTTTAATAAACCGCCATCTGAGAAAAACTGATGTCAAAAATTGTTTACTTACACGACTATCATCAGACTCAGATGTAGTTTTAGATCAGAATAAAGCAATTTCTATTATTTGACGTCATACAAAGTTCGATGTCGTCATTGACACATTTATATTCGACTGTTATCAGAGTCAGACTAAATCTTAAATTTTCTACTATATGTAAACAGTACTTAAAAATGAGTTTCTGACATGTTTAAGTGTCAAGCTGTATACACGTGCTGTTTATATTTTGTTTGTTTTTAAATAACATACTATTTTCAAAAAATTTTTCAGTAAGCTGATTTACTTAAGTTTATAACAGAAATGGCAGTTCATATTAAAATGAAAGAAGTGTAAAGTTTAAATAAATTTATAACATGCAGGTATATCAAATTATTTGTTTGCTTATAGATTTGAGGTAGAATCAAATTTCGGAGCCTTCTTTACAAGTGGTACTATATGCTGGTCAAAAGATGGCAAAGAAATATTTTGCCAAAATTCGGCAGAAATTAATGTTATAAACGTTGATAACGGGAAAATTGTTAAGAAAATAACGCAGCAGGAGATTGAGGGGTTAGAAGAAGACATCATATACACTTTTGCACTAAGTTCAGATGATGAACATATACTTACAGCGCACAGAAGTGGCTTATTAAAGTTGTGGTCGAGAAAAGGAGAGCAAATAAAAATGTGGAAAGGTTCACATAAAGGGCCTATATCAAAAGTCGTTTTTAGATCTCGTAGTTCTATAATCGCTACCGGAGGTTCAGATTCTTCAATTCGTGTGTGGGATTACGATAAGAAATCATGCTTGATATCATTTCGAGATAGTGTTGGCGTTATTAGCGTCTTAGAATTCCACCCGGATTTAGAAAAAACACAAATTTTCGCTGCTGGAGATGATTATAAAATTAATTGTTGGGACTATAGTCAAAAAGTTTTGCTAGCAACATTTTCTGGACATTTTTCTAAAGTTACAGACTTGTCTTTCACTTATGATTTTAAAAACCTTGTTTCCGTTGGCAGGGACAAAGTTTTGATTTTATGGAATTTAGAAACAAAGGAAAAGGTTCGAGTGATTCCCATTTACGAAACATTAGAAGGTGTAAAAATTTTACAAAACAATATAAAACTTCCTAATGGCTTTGATCTGGGAGAGGAAAAGAATTTAAATAAAATATTTGTAGCGGTTGCAGGAGAAGGAGGTGCGATTCAAATTTGGGAATGTACAGAATCAAAAATTATTTTTATGCAAGTCAATAGTTGCATATCTAAAGCAAAGGAGGAAGGCAGTTTAGCTATCACACAATTATTATACTGTCCTGTAACTAACCAATTATGTGTAGTCAGCATTGATCATAACATTATAATCCATAATATACCCACATTTCATTGTGCAAAACAATTAATTGGTTTCAGTGATGAAATTTTGGATGTTTGCTTTGTTGGAAAAAAGAGTAAATACCTCGCAGTTGCAACTAACAGCAGTGATATAAAATTTTATGATACGTGTAACATGAATTGCCAAATATTAAAAGGACACAGTGATATTGTATTATCTTTGGCATCATATAAAAATTTACTGCTCTCATCCGCCAAAGATAATTCTATAAGAATATGGGAAGTTAATACTGGAAATTTTTCTGTACGATGTGTAGCGAAAGGTTAATTAATTTATTTTTTGATCACAGGAAAAACTTAATATATATTTAACAAAATTTTAGGTATTAAACATACCGCGAGTGTTGGATCTGTGACTTTTGGAAAAATTTCACATACTAAGTGCGCTTCAGTTAGTCAAGATACTTGCTTAAAAGTTTGGGAAGTTCCAAAATCTTTTGAGGAAGATAATGTTATATCATTAACTTGTTTAAATACTGTTATTGCACATGAAAAGGATATTAATTGCGTTGCAATATCACCCAATGATCGTCTTATAGCAACAGCATCCCAAGATAAAACAGCGAAGTTATGGTCAGTAGATGATTTACAACTTTTGGGCACATTGCGTGGGCACAAAAGAGGTGTCTGGTGTGTACGATTTTCTCCAGTAGATCAGGTAATTTTATCGACATCGGCTGATTGTACCGTTCGATTATGGTCGGTTTCCGATATGTCATGCTTGAAGTCTTTTGAAGGCCACGAAAGTTCAGTTTTATGTGCTGATTTTTTAAACCGAGGCTTACAGTTTTTATCTGCTGGTGCAGATGGTCTTATTAAATTATGGACTATTAAAAATAATGAATGTAACGGTACTTTTGAAAAACATGAATCAAGGATATGGGCCCTCGCAGTACATCCAGATGAAACGCATTTTTTTAGCGGCGGCTCAGATTCCTGCCTAATTAAATGGAACGACGTTACAGAAGAGAAAAAAATTGCTGAATTTAATGCACAACAGGAAATCGTATTACAAGAACAGGAACTAAATAATCTGCTAGTTCAGAAGAAAACGTTAAAAGCTTTAAAATTAGCTCTTAAACTAGAAAAACCCTTTTTGACTTTGAAAATTATAAACGAAATAATGAAGAACAAAGAAATGGGACTGGACGAGACCGTTTTATCATTAAACGATTTACATAAAGAAAATTTATTAAAACATGCGATAACGTGGAACACGAATAGTAAAAACTGTAGAGCAGCTCAATTGATTCTAAATATTTTACTTAAGGAAATTTTAGCAAATAAATTTAAAGTAACTGGTCTTGAAAAAATGGTTGAGGAAGCTCTTCCTTATACAGAAAGGCATTTCAGACGTGTAACCGAATATTTAAAAGATTTGAAATTCATTGAATTTACTTTAAAGTGTATGCAACCCTATGGTAAAATGGAAGTAGATGAAAGTGATAGTAATTAAAAAATATTGTAATATGCAAGTTGTGTATATATAAAAGACCTCCGAAAATTTCTTAAAATTTTTTTTAAGATATGTTCATATACATATGTATATATTTTTAATAAATTAAATTTTTATGGATATATTAATTAACAGGATTTTTTACTGAATCAATGTTTTGATTATTTCTTTTATTAATTAATTACGGCAAAAAAAATATGAATGAAAAAAAAATATGTCTATGAATTATTTTCTAGTGTAAAAGCATTAAAAAACTTATACAAGAATAAATAACGTATATTATTAGCAAATATGTCAGTGAATATATTATTAGTAATATTATTAAATATATTATTGGTAAAATCGAAAAAATCTAAGTTTTTTTATAATCATTTATTCTTTTTCGTAATAATTTTTGCAATCTTGGAGGAAAATTTTTATTTTGAGTTTTAAAATTTCTTTTATTGTTACTATAATAAGTTTAAATATGTACATATTATGTATATGTATAAAAGTTCTAAAAGAGAGCAATTTTTAGATTAAAATGTTAGGAAACTTTACAAATTTTCTCTTGTGAACTGACATTGTGGCTAGGGTTTTACCTACGCTTTATATTTTTTTTATGTTTGATGTTTTTCACTATTAAATTTAATATAATGTAATAATATAATGTCTTTAGAATCTCTAGCAACTACTAGTAAAAACCCTATCCCTAGTATACACTACTAAAAATCTATATACATATGTACAAACATATATTTACATTAAATTTTGATTTGTAGTTATACATTTATTTCAAGTATTCAAATCATATTGAATAAATTCAATATTTTAAATCAAAATATTTTTGAAAATTTCAAGTTAAAAATTAGTAAACAAATCGGGAGTTTCTGCGTTAAAAAGTGGACAGCAATATAATTTTGAATAGCAGATTAGATTTGTATATATGTACATACACATGTAGCAACATATATAAATAAAATGTTCAAAATATTTCTCTTTGAGAATTTTATAAAGTGTGTAATCATAATACTCAATATAAAAAAACTAAAAATACTCTTTTTTGAGCAAGAATATTTTAGTAAACTTAGTTAGTTATAAAGTTTATAATAAAAAGATCATTCGCGGTTTATTTAAAAAAAATGGGTATAAGTTTGATAATATCAACAATAGTTTTAGGCTTACTTGGGTTTTTATATTATTTAATTAAGCAAAGGTATTCCTTTTGGAAAAATAATGGTATTCCATTTTTGGAACCAACAATACCATTTGGAAATTTTAAAGATGTAAACAGAACTGTTATATTCCATGAATGGATGCAAAAAATTTATAATGATTTCAAAGGCGAAATTCTTGTTGGAATTTTCGTTCTTTTTCGTCCAGGTCTAATAATTTTAGATTTGGATTTAATTAAAAATATTTTAATTAAAGATTTTAATCAATTTACGGATCGTGGATTATTTTCTAACGAAAAAGATGATCCGCTATCTGCACATTTATTTTCATTGGATGGGCAAAAATGGAAATCACTTCGAAATAAATTATCACCAACATTCACATCAGGAAAAATGAAATTTATGTTTCCAACTGTTTTCGAAATTGGCAAAAAGCTAGAAGAAACACTTTCGGAATTAATCATAAAAGAAAATCATATAGAAATTAAAGATTTATTAGCTAGATTTACAACAGATGTAATTGGAAATTGTGCTTTTGGTATTGAATGTAATAGTTTAAAAGATCCAAATGCAGAATTTCGTGTAATGGGCAGACGATTAGTTTCAAAAACTCGTCATGGTCCACTTATAACATTTTTTAAAGCATCATTTCCGGATTTCGCTAAAAAATTAGGTTTTAAGGAATTTGAAGATGTGATTATAAATTTCTTTTTAAAAGTTGTTAAGGAAACTGTTGAATATCGTGAAAAAAATAATATTGAAAGAAATGATTTTTTAAATCTATTAATAAAAATTAAAAATAGTCCTAATGAAAATGAATTACATGGGATAACTATTGAAGAAATAGCTGCTCAAGTGTTTTTATTTTTTTTGGCGGGATTTGAAACATCATCGTCTACATTGGGCTTTCTTCTATATGAAATCGCTCAAAATCATGAAATTCAAAATAAAATGAGAAGTGAAATAAATGAGGTATTAAAAGATTTTAATGGAGATTTTACATACGAAGCTATGACAAAATTAAACTATATGGATCAAGTTATATCAGGTAAAATATAGAAGATTAAGAAATTTTTTGTGTGATAACATTTTTTAATCACACTTCTTTAATTAACAAATTCAAATAAGAGATATTAAAATTTTATGATATTTTTAAGTTGAATTAATAAATATTATTAGTCAATAAATAAATGAATTGAAAGAAATTATAATTTATATTTTTTTTAATAGAAACTTTGAGAAAATATCCACCTGTTGTGAATTTGCTGCGAAAATGCATATCAGATTATAAAGTTGAGGGAACAAATTATGTTATACCGAATGGTACAGTACTTATAATACCAGTTTATCCAATTCAACATGATCCAGAGATATATCCAAATCCAGAAAAATTTAATCCAGATAATTATAATCAAGAGGCTATAAATTCTAGACATTCTAGCACATTTTTAGCATTTGGTGATGGTCCACGTAATTGTTTGGGTTTGCGTTTTGGTAAAATGCAAACAAAAGTTGGTCTTGTAACGCTTCTAAGTAAATTTAAATTTAGTGTATGCGATGCAACACCGATCCCTTTAAAATTCAACATGAAAAGTATGTTATTAAATTCAGAAGGTGGTATTCCACTGAAAATTGAAAAGTTGTAAATTTTTATAAAAAATAATCAAATTTATAAAGAATATGTGTGTTTTTAATGACAATAAATATTTAATTTAAAGATAATTGTAATATTATAGATATTACATGATTTTAATCTTTATTACAATAATTAGATTATATTGTATTAAGATTTGCTAATATTTTTCTATTAGATCTATTTGTGTAAAACGAAAAATATAATTAAATTCTTTAATAGAAGATTTTGTATTCAAAATGGTATTGTATTTGAATTATAATAGGCAGAGCTTTTGGATTTCCATAAACTGTAACATTTAATTTTTATATATGTACATGCCCACATGCATACATATGTACATATGTCAAAATATTTATTCAGTATACTCACTAGAAATAAGTTTTAACAAATGCATTTTTAGATTAAATTAATACTTACATTTTCTATATTATTATTTATCTTTAGATCTATATTTTAGTGTTCTTACTTTACATCGAAATTATTATTTTTGAAAATTTAAAATCAATTAAAATTGATTCTCTTTGATAATAAATTTATATGTATACACACGTATATATGAAAAAGATAGGTAAAATATAAGCTATTAAAACATAAATTAATTGTAAACGTAAATACGATATATACATACATACATATAGCTATGAATAAAATAAAATCTACTTAACAGAGCTTTCACGATTTGATAGTTTGTACATACATACATATGTATATATATGAAATTGAGTTTCCAAGTTTATCAATTGAAAAAATTACGTAATTAAAAATATTTTAATAATTTGATCATTAATAATTATTTGAGCTTTTATCACTGATATTAAAAGTTTTCATTCCATGAATAAAATTCATTTAAAATTTTATTTAATTTAATTTTATTTAATTTTAATTTTTAATTCAATATTGTTTAAAATAATTCTAAGAATTTTAATTTTTTTCAAATAGAATATGAAAAGTTCATATTATTATTTCTTTCTTATTGTTATATTAAAGTTCCCATTATTATTTGCTACTGTTAAAATTAACGATATAAATCTATAAAAGCACAATAAAAATTTTTCCTTATATTCAGTCGCAAATGAACAAGCAATTGCGACTGGCTATAAGTCTGCAAGTAAACAATCGTTAACATTTTATAAAATGGGAAATGTATAACTAGTAGCTAATAAAGATTAAAATAAGAAAATTTGCAATGAAAAGCTAATGAAGATTAATATAAGAATTGCTAAAGAAGTTTTTGTATTATATATACAAGCAAACAGAATCAACACAAATTCAATACAAATATTTTTGATAAAAACTAAATTAAAATATAAAAATAAAGGAAAATATCAATACATATCTGAATTATTTTCTCATTTTTTTTTATAAAAAAGAAAATTTCTCCCAATTTTATCCAAAATTCAATGTAGGTACTCCTTTTATCTATATAATTTATATGTTTGTCTTCTATATATTATAAAAAAAAAAAGCATTTCATACAATTTTCTTTTCGAATCTAGTTATTGTTATTATTTTCTGTTTGTATAGTGGTAGAATTTCATTATGAATAACTGACCGATATCATCTATATATGTAACAATAAATAATTCCATTCAATTTTACTCTTATGTATATTATTGTAGTTAGCATATTTCTTTTTAAAATATTAATGATAAAGTAATCAAACTAGAATTGATATTGATTGATTTTATTTTATATTTTGCTATCCTAAAAAAATAATAAGTATAAAAAATATAATGAGTATTTGTTTTTTTTCAAAATACACACTTTCTATTCCTTATTTTATTTGTATGTACCTTTTAAAAATATACATTATATATATTTATATATTTATTTATATTTATATTATATTATATGAGATAAGTTATCCTTGAAATTTTTCAATCATTTTCTAAAGGATTATGGCAAATATATATATATATATATATGTAAAAAGTACACACCTTAAGGTTTGTTTAACTTAAAACAAAAAATTCTTAAAAAACAATGTTAGATTTAAATTATATACGAGTATATACTTAATGTGTGTATAGGTTTGATGGAATTTATTCATCTATATATAGTTTTGAAAATATAAGAGAATTTGTTTCGATGAAAGCATGAAATTCGTACACAAATAAATATTAAAGTAAATTTTTCTTCAAAACTAGGCAGTTGAAATGCCAATGTTCAAATACGATTCACCTTTTCAATGAAGTATAGGGTGCTGTCTTAACAAAACGAAATTATTCTAGTAAGGAAAGTTAGAGTATGTGAATTGAAATTATCTAAAAAATTATTTTCTATCTAATTATTAAAAAATCTATCTAATTATTAAAAAAAAATCCATAACTTAAATTCAATACCAGTTGAAATCATGTTAGTGTTGTAATTTTCACAGTGCGTATGAGGGCCAATTTACATTTCTTTTTAAAATATCTAAATAAATTCTTATGTCATCACTTGTTTTTACGTTTATTGATTTGAAAAATAATTTTACATTTTTTGAAATAGTATAGAGAACCTTAAATAGAATAAAAATTTGATTTATTAAAAACAAAATATATGGGAAAAGTATACTATTCGTATTCTGTTTGAAACCCAATTTCTATAGTATTGTGTATAGATAATAGATTAAAAAAAATATATAATAGAAAATATTTTAAACTATATAGAAATTCACGACACGTTTCTATCTTTTATGTTGAATTAAAAAAATAAATTCTTTTTTATTTTTTTTTTGTTAGTTTAGTTTTCTTTTAACATACTAAAGATAATACATGGAAATAAAAGAATAATTTAGAGTAAAATAGAAATTGAAAGGTAATATCTTAAAAAAGGATGCTTTTACTCTTTTGTATTATAATAAACAGAGCCATTTAGACTTTCTATTTTAAAACAGTTTAGTATTTCACCTATATCGTAAATTTAGTTTTTTAGTTTGATTCATTTGATAGAAATGTTTTTAGTATCACGTATTATATTGATCTTCTTATAAACTTTATCGATTATGCAATTGATTCTGTTTGTATTCTTATAATTTACGTTTCCAATTTTCTTTCGTTTTATAAGTATAACAATAAAATATTGAATTGTATACGAAATCATATACTTACTGAAAGTAAATGCAAATGCCACTTTTAATTATTTTTGAATACTAAAAATGAAAACAAGTTTTATGAATTCATACAAGGTGGTAAGCAAATTATTCATACCAATACAACATAATGAATGAACATTCATCATAATTATGCATTTTTTTTAAATAATATATCAAGTTGCTATTATTAACCGCTTCATCATTAGTACTCAGTGTTTTGAAGAAATTACATAAAAATTGCAACATTAATTTCGGAAAAATAATTTTACGATGACAAAATAACGAAACTGATAGCGTACCCCTTAAAATATGCACTCGGTCGATTCTTCATAGAATATTGTGAGAATAGTGTAAAATAATATATAAATTTAATTATATTCGTATACGAACGTATGTTCGAAGGGTATACTAAATTTGGTTTATCGTTTTTAACGATAAGAAATAATGATCTGAGATATAGACTCAAGTATATGTTTTTGATCAAGCTTTGTCTGTCCGTATGTCAATCCGTCCGTCCGCCCAAATGATAGTTCAAAAGCTAATTGAGCTAAGTTCATCAAATTTTCACAAATAATTTATTGTAATAAATTCCAGAACCCCTTTTAAATTGCTTGGGATCGTGGTACTGGTTCGGGTACCTAGCATACTACTTCCAAATTTGTTTGACTATACCTAAGAAACCTAAGCCTATACCTTAGTAGGGCCAATGTGTTTGATAAAAGTTGTTGATACAATTCAGAAGTTATTCATACAACTTCAGAAGTTATATTCGTAATTCGTGCATAAGGTAACAAATTTGTAACGGTATCACAGATTTGACACAGTCAACTCTATTTTTTCTCGTTTTTTACTTGTTTTTGATTAATACCGTAAATAGAAATTATTTTTACTTGCTTATAAAAAATGCGTTAATTAATTAATCATCAAATTGATCTGCAATAATAAATGGTTTAGTTCAAGTATGCAATTTCATTTATAATTATTATGCCCCTCAATTATTTTCCAATTCAAATATTTGATTTTAAATTAAAATTAGAAACACACTTGTATAGTGAATTTATATAACATCTATATTGTAAAAATTTTAAAGACATGTGTCATTTCAAGTTTATGGTATTATTATTGGAAAAACATACATATTTACATTTTAAAGATTGTTTGTGTTTTTTTTTTCTATTCCAAATAGAAAAGGGTTTTATAGTGTGTCTATATGTAGACATAATATCTTATACATATAGATTAATTATGTACCATTATTAATATATAAAATATACAATATTTTAATAGAATATATTTTTGTATTAAAGAACATGTGGACCATATAACCTCTAACATAAATAATTCAGGTTTTGTGTGAATAAAGAACATGCGCGAAAATTTGGTACTCTCTTTCAAACAATAGACAATTTCATTACAAATTATTTCAATATCAATATAGTAAAATATTTTTTATATTTTATTTCCCTTAAATATTTTATTAAAACAAGAACAAGTTTATTTTATAAATTTTATGATTGATAATATCTATTTCGTTCCCTATATTTTTTGTTTCTCCTGATGGATTTTTTTTTTAAATTTTTCAAAAGCTTTCGCAACTTTTACTCAATTTAAGTTGAAAATATAACAATTTAAAACTGAAATATTTTGATTAAGAGTAAATGGCTCATGTACTTGACACAAATTATAGTTACCTACTGAATCAATTTTAAAAAATAAATGTAGCAGAAGAAAATATTCCAATGAGTGCACTTATTTTTCAAAAAAAAAAAAATATCGTTAAAAAGGATAAATAATTATTTCATATAAACAAATAAAAATTCGTTAAATATTCTTTGTATTCGTTAATTTTGTTATAAAATCTCTGAATTATCAAAATAAAAATCTCGTTATTATGTGCTCAATGTTAAAGGGACATAGGTATGCAAAGTTTTATTTATGAGTAGTAATTGCAATTACAAAAACAAAAAA